CCACAGAAATCCACTTTAAATGCATACCAACAATTTATTTTCATTGAAAAGTGTAACAGGTTGAGAAAGTTGCATCTACAAACAGCTTGAACAAATTATTACGAGTGAATTTATCAATACATACATGCAGAATCCCAGAAAAGCTCCGGTAAGCTGCGCTGCTGTTGGGCTGGCTTAAGCAGTTACTGTGCCGGCTTAAGCAGTTACTAGGCTGTGCCTACCAAGGACGCACCCCAACTGCTGAGGGCAGAGTGATGACTTTGGTTGCGGGGGGTGGGGGGTGGTGGAGGGAGGGTGGGGTTGTGTTTGTGTTTTATTTATTTTTAAGCTTTGAAAAGATGTATCCTGGTCACATCACAAAGCTTGAAAGGCAGATTTTAAGACCTGGGGTTTTGGTTTAGTTTGTTTTTTTTTAAATCAGTATTAAAAAAAAATAAGGCTTCAGTAATATATAGCAAGGGTAATTAAGAAGGAGCTGGGTTCTGGCCTCAGTGGTCAGTGAATTAAGTGCAAATAAATTTGCAGCAAGATTCCACGGCAGCAAACCCCCACAGTCTGTGGCAGAAGGCTGGCTCATAGTTTATCATCTGTCACGAACATGGATTTCAACAGTGACGATTTCTAAGGCTTCAGCTGCAAGGTACTAATGGCAGAAAAGAAAGATTCCAGCCAGAGTTGCTTAATGAATAAGCTAAAAATACAAAGTCTTTAAAACAATAAAAAAACCCCCACAAACTGACGAAAAAAAAACCCCACTCCAAAGCTGGGAAGCAGTGTCTGCGTGGTGCCATCAGCGCGGCCCCAGGGGCAGCCCGGTCTGTGCCGTGCTGACGCTGGCTGCCGTGGTTCACAGCCTATGGGTGTGAGCCCCGACCGTACGCACACACGCCTGGGCCAGGTGGGTGAGTAACTCGCTGGCCCTGCTACTGAGAACTACTTCATGCAAAAGGCAATACGCAAGGTGGAGTGAAACCCAGAGCCAGGACGCTCTGCTCTAGCAGGCTTTGGAGCGCAGCAAAGGTCAAAAGTTAAAATGCTTGGGGGGAAAAAGAAAAATGAAAAAAATACAGCGCCGAGCAGGAAGGCAGGATTAAAGACATCATCTGAGGAGCACGTCAGTATTGCTTCTGCTCTAGCGCTGAATCATCCAACTCCAAACGTCAGAAAAAGTACAACAGGCAGCTGAGTTCTTCCACTTTCGTTTATCTCTAATGACGCTGCACCACCTGAAAGCGCTGCCGGCAGCCCTGCCTTTCTGACACGACGGTCGGTGCCTGCCACACACCGGTTTGCACAGATGCAGTCACAAACTGTAAATTACTTACTTATGCCAAGGAAAAGCTGTGGATTCTTGGCCTAAAAGCAGATAAAGGTTACTTCATTGTCCAAGTATCACCTAGCCAGATCGAATTTAATATTGCAAGGCAGCACACAGTATAGCATCTCACTTTTAACAAACATTTATTGAAAACATCAGAGGCGCTCTGGTAATACATTTGGTATATCGCCATTCCAGGGTTAAGAGAAATATTAAAAAATATAAAGGCTGTAAATGCAGAACTCTTAACCCTGGAAAAAGTAAGATTGAAAAAAAACTCCACATTCTGAGTTTAAAAAAATAAGGAAAAAAAATCACTATCAAGACGTCATCTTTTAACTTCCTCAGTTTGAGGACTAGAGAAAGGCTCAGTCGTCCCTCATCAGTATTTTTATTGCTTTCAGCTGGCAAGCTACCAAAACTCACCAAGTTTCTTTGCTTTGTCACTTCAGGCCACTGTTATTTTCAGAGGCCAAACACCCATCCTTCCAGAAGGCGAGTCAGACTACTGAGAAATGGCTACCCTCACTGAGAAATGGCTACCCTCGTAGCAACACGTACCGTTTCCCTGGCAACTCTGCCCGTTACAGAGGTTGTTCCTCTTGGGATACTTAGAACCCACACAGAAAGAAGAATTATTTGTCTGAAGTTAAGGCAGCAATAAATAGCAGAGGTACAAAAAAGCCTGCCGTCACACCCTAAGGCAGGAGTGATTATTTAGGTCTCAATAAACGCGCTTTTTTTTTAGCGAGGATTCTGCGTAACGCACTGTGGAGCCCTGAGTCTGCTGGCCGAGGTACTCCATGGGGCCAGGTTCTGGCGAGGAAATGAGGTACGAAGAGCCTCGCTTCTCGCTTCTTGTTGGAGCCACCTAAGGACAAGAAGAAAACAAGTGACACATGATCCAGAGCAAACGGCGTGAATAAATAAAGCTCCAGTCTGGGCATTACCAAGGACCAGGAGCCAGTAACTGACTCCAAAGGCCCGACTCCTTCGGCTTTAAGGTCCAGCTATACAGAGCTGATGAGTCAGTGTTTGTGCCCTTTCCCTAAAAAACTCCACACCAACCGTAAATGCATTGGTGCCCCACCATACATGCGGTTTTGTGAGGGCCAAGGGCTGGCTGGGCCAGGTGGCCCCGCTCCACAGTGCACATTTAAAAAGCGGTAGCGTCATGGCCATGCTAGTACCCTGCAGTGGCATAGCAGCCTCAGACATCTTCATCCTTTAAAGTAAGGCACCAGTGGGCCACCTTTCAGTCCTCTTTCTTTTCTCTTGGAGAGCTGAGTGGGTTACGCTGTCCTGGCACAGCTATCGTGGCAAGTCAGATGTTGAAGGCCTTGGTTTCCAGCCATGCCAAAGTGGATTTGTGTTACGGATTACGGGTAACCATCTGCCACTGTCAGGCACGAGTTTACACGTGGTACCGAAGTGAAGGAGAGAGCAGTAACCATTCTTTTAATCAACACTTCAATTTAACAAGCGTGCCTCACACCGACACACAGGGTATACACAGGACGCCCCACCGCCAAGGGCTCCTTGGGGGGCTCGGGTTCAGTTCCTCTTTGGGATCCCTCAGAGCATGACATTGCAACATCCATGGGCCTACAGCACTAGAAGCTGTACATACACATTAGAGCCCACAGCCCTACTCAAGACTCATTAGTCTTGATCACTTCTCTCCTTCCCCCAACGTGTCATTAATTTCATTACCAAATGGGGTAAACAGTCGCCGCGTTCTGAAAGACTGAAGGAAGCATCTGCTCTGTAACAACCACCTGAACCTGATCTCACCACATCCTGCTCAACCACACTGCGTGTCCCGGGTTAAGTCTGGCTCCTAGATCAGAAGACTCAGGGTTTTGGTTCATGTTGGAGTCAGTATTTTAGAAACTTTAACATGTTTCACAAACCGGGACACTAATTACTTAATCAAAAGAACAGCTGTGCTGACCAAACGCCCCTGAGCCCAACACCTCCTAGCAGTTCTCAGAAGCACCCCTTGCTAATTCGCATTCACAACTCAAATTACCCTCTCTGTTAACTCCATCTGCATTTTAGCGTGCACTTCTCGTTATCATGAATAGGAATTTGCTTGAGGAAAGACTTTCAGTTTTCCCCCCCCCGTTCCCTCGTCTGCACTTCTAATAGCCGTGGGGATGCCACACGTGTACAGCAACCCTCCACCGCGCCCTGGCTCGCGTGGCAGAGCGCAGCACCTCCGCTGCGTGATTCATACAGATCTCCGACTGTGCTCGACCTGAGTCTCTGAAATGCAGCTGACAGGAGAAAAATGGGTTGCAGGGTTAAAGCAAGTGCACGCATACAAGCACACTCTCTTAACCAACACGGAGCCTCTTGGGGACCAGTCTGTGTGCCCTCTTCACCGAGATTTATCGTTTGATTTCAGGAATGAGAGAAGTACCTCATTGCAGAGGCAAACCATACTTCTGTTTAGTCTATGCCAAGGGACCACTCTCTGCCTTTTATGGTATCTGGCATTAAGACGAACTTTCAAGCAAGCTGTTCAACATCACCTCCACATACAAGCTTTCCTCTTTAGAATGGAGATACACTGAAAGGTATTAAGTTAGCTCAAACCCCAGACTATCATCTCGTCCTCCTGTTACTATTTCACTCATTTCCAGTCATATCAGAGCCGATAGGAACCTGAAAACTTTTTTGCTGCACACAGCTAGAAGTTTCACAGCCCATGGCACCGTGTTTGGGCCTTGGCCATCTTTAGCCCAAGACATGTCAAAGCCAGGTCCAGCCAGGCCTTGTCTCCTGTCCAGGAGTCATGAATTGCTACAGTTGTGTGTTCCTTCTAAATCTCCTCCAAACAATGGGAATCTCATGCCAAGTCTGAGATGCGAGTTCCTGAATGCCAGAACATCATGTGCTGAATCCTGCTGCTAACCTCTGTGCAGCAAAGGGATTTAATGCCGTGATGGAGGAGAGCTGCGCAGGAGGCTGGGCCCCTGAACTCTCCCAGATCCCACTGCTGACTTCAGCTGCAGCTCCTCTCGGCATGCCCGGGCACCGTGCAAAGGGCCACGAGCTGCGCTAGAGGCTGGAGAGCCGGCTCGGCGTCCCTCCACCAGCACTCGGAGAGATTATCATCGCTCTCATGGCTGCATGGCTGGGGCTGGACTCACAAAGGCAGCAGCTCCTTATGCTGACGGGCAAAATTCCCTGCAGCTGCTCCAAAACCGATGACCATCCGGCTTTTAAGGTCTCTCCCATCATAAAACCAGAAGAAAAGTGATTTACCTATGGCACTCGGGAAACAAGCAGACCTATGCTCAAACTGAACAAAGCTTTTAACCCCACCGTCTCGGCCTGTGTTAAGCTGGCCTTCTGTTAGTCCAGACTCC